TCTGAATGGGGTCGTGGTTTCAGACAACACACCCCGCATTACTTCTCACTGTCTACTGATATCTCCGGAAACCGCGATAAGATTCAAGAAACATGTAAGTGACAGCTTTGCTTTCCCTTCAGTAAACACGGCACATAGCCAGGAAAGGCCCAATTGCCAAAACATATGTTTATTTGGTTAGAGGACAATGCTCTCCTATCACCGCTATGACTTCTTCGACTCCGTCACAGATAAACCGTCGTGGAATCGAAAATTGCTAGTGTCGTTCAAGTTATCACCCAGAATGTCCGAAAATGGCTCTACTACTTCTTAATAATCAGTAATAGCCCTAGTTGACAACTATGACTTCAAGATGACCAGCAACCAGTTATGTCAGAGTTGGCTTTATGCAACCGAGTAGGTCAATTTTCAGCATTTCACACTGTCACTGCAAATGGTGAAGTGTATGAAATTACTGTCAATGAAATAACTAAGTAAAACTTCTAAACAACTTATACACATATCACGTGCCAATAATCACATTATGCTGATAGTTTTGGATGAGCGAACAAGCAAGCAGGACAGATACGGTAGAACAGATTTGCAGTAAGATGGAGTACGAGATAATAGGGTTTTTAATTCGGGACGGGTAAAGGAAGTAGCTAGTGTTTTTGATAGGTCATTGTGTCGTGGATGAAGTCGGTTGTTTAGAATTTTGAAGAAAAAACTGGTACAAGCCTCCAGATGTTTGCTAACAATGAAATCCACAAAGGACTCTCCAGAAGATCAACTGCATCTGGAAATAAAAGCTTTATGGACCGTACAATCAATGTGTAGTCTCTATTGGGTAACCCCGAAAAAACTACAGGGGAACAGTAGAGCAAACAAAGCAGAATGCATGCAGTCACAAATCTAAGAATCAAATCACAGGGTAGTGAAAGTACTTCGAGTCGAAGGACGTAAAGTAACAACTGCTTAAATTTCCAAAACCTTTTGGCAACGGGACTAGACCAAGATAAGCATCGTACTAAAAAGTCTCCTAGATATTTACTGCTTGATCTGGATGTGAACTGGTTACTCACTGCCAATAGAGAAATAGCGTCCTAGACAACTCGTAATTTGTCAACTCGGAGAAACGAGAATGTTACCTCACGACATCTAGAAGTGTTCAGAATCAGGGATGGGAGCGACGGCGGAAGCACAAGCTTATCTAGACCATTTTGAAACACAGAAGAGGTCCCAAAGTTTGGGGTAATGCATCCCAAAACGACATCGTCAGTATACTTGCATCCTATAAAAAAGATGGTATGTGGAGCATTTCAATGCGTAAATAAATAAAGCGAATGAGAAGATGACTCCCTGTAAAACACCACGACTAGAGCGAAATGCAGAAGACTTCGCTTCTCTAATCTGCATGAATTGAGTGCAGTTTGTGAAGTAGTATTTAGCCGCGCTGCAAACACTTGTTGGAACCCCATTCGTAAACAGTTAGTTGAGCAAGACTGATCTGTCAACGCTCCCGAAACTATTTGTATAGTAGAGAAGTACAATGCATACTGTCCCGTATATTTTATCCAGTGAACATGCTACGGAATGCAAAAGATATGATACAGCATCCAATGTGGAGCGACCATGTTTGTAAGCGAACTGGTGTACATCGGCTGTATTGGTGCGTGAAAAAATCTGAGGTGCATCTAGTTTCTCGAAGATCTTCAACATCACGGATTTACATTCGATTGGACGATAGTTGTGGGAGTCCTTCTTAGGCACAGGCGTTATCTTTATAGGTCCCCAAATGTTAGAGGTGGTGTCATCAGTTGAAAATGGCGGTTAGATGTTTCGCAAGATAATCTGCGCAGTTCTTTAGGATACGTGGTGATAATACATCGGGCCATCAACATTTAACCAATTTTTAGAGTTCTCGGTTAACATTAAACTTGTGTTAGTGAAGTAATGCGAAGAAAATATACCCTGTTGAGAAGAAAAGAACTCAGCGTTGAGTTAGTTCAAAGCCACGTTATCCATGCGCTTATGGGAACTTTGGCCACGCAAGTGCTTCAAACGTCTCCGAAGGTCGCATGGAAAAAGGGTAAGACTTCAATACTGGATCGGATATACACAAACGAAGAACTAATGGTCCAGAGGATGATCATCGACGTCCCATTGGGCCGCAACCATCACGCAGTACTTCTATTCGAATACATTTGTTACGCAGAATATCCCGCGGAAATTGCAGACGCCACGAGAAGGTATGTACCCTGCGACATATTTGCTCGACTAGGTGAGACAGCCAACTGGACATTTCTGGCAGACGAGGCACCAGCTAGTGCATGGGAACATTTCGTTAGCAACTTTAGCTCTCTGATTGCCGAAGCGTCAACGACTAAGACCTTCCGCCCGAGAAAGGTGGTCTCGTTTCTGCGAAGCAGGACACGCAAGTGTATAGCGGTGCGAACATCAGGGTGGCATATCTACAAAATCTTCCCAAACACCGAGAATTGGATGGCCTATGCGACCCAACGTAGCCACCGTACTCAGCTTGTTCGCGATGACAGAATGGCGTACCAGCAGAAGTTGGCAGTGCGCATGACCTATAACCACAAGCTTCTGTATCAACACCTCAACAGTCTGTGTAAGGTGAAACGGGAATTCCTTCTCTTCAAACAATGGAAGGACCCACAGAGACACCGAAGGAGGCAACGAATATCCTGCGCCTACAATATGCTGCAACATTTCAGTGCGATCACTGGCCACCTAACCCTATGACGATGGTTGTTTTACCTCCAAAACTCACCCACATATCCTTCACAGAAGAAGCTGTACCAAAAAAGCTATTGCTTATGCGCAAGCACTTCTCTCCTGGAGTTGATAATATACACACGAAATCGCTAGCAGCAGTAGGAGAGCGTTTAGCTGAGCTTTTGGCTCGATTCTTTCAACATTGTTTTGAAGAAATGTACGTGCCCGACATTTGGAAACACAGGATAATTGCCCCCATGCACAAGGGAGGTAGTCGTTCCAATCCAGTCAACTACCGTCCCATAATCTTACTACCGGTGCTTTCAAAAGTCATAGAAGTGATTATTTCTGATGCACTGTCGGCCTACTTGGAAGAATTTATTTATTTACCTCGCACCGGAACAGCGTGGCTTTCGAGTAAATAGCTCGTACGCTACAAATCTACTACTAGCACGATCCAGCTGAACTGAAGCAGTAGAATCTGGCACAGGGGTTGATGTAGTTTTCCTTGATTTCTCAAAGGCGTTCGATCGGTTAGACCATAACATAGTGCTCTTCAAACATCAGACCTTTGGTATCGGTGATCCTCTCCAAGGATCGATTAGAAGCTTTCTTCTACACCGGCGCCTGGATGTACGTGTGCGTGATTCGCTGTCAGATCCCATCCGACTTGAATGCGGCGTGCCACCGGGATCAGTACTAGGACCGCAATTATTTTTGATGTATATTAACGAAATCACACACCTCAGATAGAACGTCTTGCTTTATGCCGATGACATGAAAGTGTGGAGGGCGAGTAACACACCAGATGATATCACAGTACTTCAGGAAGATCTGGATAAGGTATAGGTGTAGTCACTCCAGAATCAACTTCGATTCAATGTGGACAAGTGTAGAGCGCTGCACCTACGGCACAATTTGGTGCACTCCTACAAACTCAGAAACCAGGTGCTTCAAACGTCTTCTGGCGAGAAGGATCTGGGAGTTTTGGTCCAGGTCGACTTTGGATGTTCGAAGCAGGTTGAAACGGCTTCTAGGAGTGGCATCCAAAATGTGGGCCTCGTGAAGCATGCATTCGGAAGATTCGACCCATCGATTTTTCCACAACTCCTCCGTCCATACATACGGCCACATATGGAATACGCAATACAAGTCTGGCATCCATGGTTGAGGAGACATCTCCCTACATTGCAGATACTCCAATGCCTGAAAACCAAAAATGTCAAGGGTCTGTATAATCTGCCATCAAGTGCTCGGAGTCTTCAGCGGACAGTATCGGCGATTGCTCGAGCACCTCATTTTGACTTCGCAAATTTTGAGAGATCCCAGCCACATGTGCCGCTAGTGGTTAGAGCTCGGTCACATCAGCAATTTGAGAGGCCACCATCTCAATCTAGCAGAGCAATACAGTTGCTTGGAATACCGTCGGAATTTCTTTTCCGTACGCGCTTGCTATATGTGGAGTGCCCTACCGGAATGTGTCATATGTGCTCCCACGCTTGCGAATTGCAAATCCCGAGTTGACCGTGCACTTATTTTGCTGCACCGTCTTACATGACCCAGTACCCATGGATAAACCCAAGTGTCTGTAAGAGACTTCACTGGCGGTCAAATCACAGATTTCGTTCCATCTTTTTTGCCTCCTCTATGTGTACACCAAAAGGAGACACGACTTTTACCAACATCCCATTTGCCGTCATTTCTTATGGATTTACCTTGAGGTTTACAGACTATACTACGTATAATTCAGTGAGTTCGCTGGTATAAACCCAATTTTGCTAACAATTTTGTTCTATTTTGAAGTTTCAGCATAACCCTCCTACGGGATCTGTTAAGCA